AACACAAAGTTATTATTAATACTTATCTACTTTGTGTTACTTTGAGGCATAAATGAAAAAAGAAAAAAAAACTAGTACATAGAACATTGTTATTATTATTATTTTAATTTAAAAAATTGTTTATTATCAACTGAGTGATAGTTTACATGGGAGAACATTGGCTTTACACCATCGCTTCATTGCAATGATTACAATCTCCTCCGTGCATCATCATTCAACTTTATTTGCTTCCATTCCCTCTTTTTCTTTTTTGGGGGGGTGTAGGGGTTGGGAGATGTACACAAAAACACTCAGGAACATATAATAATTTAAACAACCAAAGGTCACATTCTGTAAGTCTGTCTCTTGGCCACCAGAACCCAGTCCCTCTCTTTCCATGAGTCCAGAGTTCTCAGCTGCTCCCTCTCTTCATGTCCTCATCTCTGCCTCCATCTCTGGTGTCACTGCTTCGCTGTATAGGGTCCTACATTCCACTTGTGCTCTTCTCCCTTGATAGTCCTAGGGTCCTCTGTTTCTAAACTGTATGATTAAGTACTCCCCTGTTTTTGTTACAAAACTTCTACCTTTACTGTGCATTTCTATTTGTATCTCCAATGATTGTTCAGCTTTACCTGAACACTCTAGGACTGGCTGGGCATTTTCTCCTTTTTTTTCTGATTTTTCTTTGTTTTTTAAAAAACCTCTGGGTATGTGTTTATTAAATAACCATTTGTTGAGGGCCTACTATGTGCTGTGGCATTTGTTGAATGAATGAATGCAGAATAAGAATGAATGGTATGAAAGATGCCAAGCACCTTAGGCTTGGTGGTAGTTAGAGGCTGAAAAACCACATAGTATTAATACTTTAAAAACCCCTGCCTTTGAGTTGATTCCGACTCATACAGTGTTGGAAACCCTATGGGGCAGTTCTACTGTGTGCTGTAGGGCTGATGTGAGTCGGAAGCCTCTCGATGGCAGTGGGTAAATATGCCTGCTGGAATTTCTGGGCAGTGGAAACACGCTCTGCAGCCAACAGAAAGTGTGGAGGAAGAAAAACTTCACAATTTACTTCCAAAAACTCAGCCATTGAAATCCCTATGAAGTACAGATCTACTCTGACATATATAGGGTTACCATGAGTAGGCATCAACTTGACAACAACCTATAAAGTAGATACTTTTATTGTCCTTGTTTTCTGCATGAAAAAGTATAGACTAAAAAACCTTGATTCAAGTCTACGCAGTTGCACTCTGAACCCCTATACTATGCACCCTGCTTCCTGAGTGTCCGCCAGAGACCAGGCAGCCATAATGGAAACATCTGGAAGACAGAGTTGGTGTCAGTAACCTAGTTTTATGCTTTATGAACTAGTTGTCTTGCCAGAAACACCAGTAACTATTTTAAGAAGAAAGCCAAGATATATAAAGTAAGCCATTATTAATAAATTTCATTTCCTTTCTACCTTTTCCTTACTTTTGACCTGTTATCTATCTCTTAGTTCACCTCCTTGACAAGAAGGTGTTGAATATATCCTCAAGGAAACAATATGTAACTGTTTGTGGAAATAAGATTTGAAGCCACATTAATACCTGAAAACGGCGGCTAGTCTTTGAGGGACCACAAGAAAGTGGATTCCCCAAAACCAGGTAGTTGAGAAGAAGCTCATTGCAGGGAGTCGTCCCTCCTGAGAGCTTGTGTGCCACAGGAGGGCACCAGAGACCCAGAGCATGGATGCTGCCGCCCAGTCCTTCCTACTTGTATTCCTGCCTGTGCTCTCCTACCCTGTATATTCACTCAGATACATCAAGCTCATAACGGAGAACCCCCAGAACTCATATTGTCTCTTTATAATGGCCTCTGATTAAATAATGAGGTCTGACGTTAGAGTCACCAGACTTCTTGGCTCTGCTTTGAAACATGTCACATTTGTAACAAATTAGAAAAGATGGAAGTTGTGCTTGGGACACTGAGCTGTTCTGGGATGGACCATGGACTCTTTTGCTCCCATTCCTCCTCTTTCTCTTGCTTCCAACCAACATACTTTGACAATGTTGATCCCAACTGATCTTTAATAATGTTGGTGGAGATAAGAGTGGAAGCCTTATGATTACCCCAGGATGGGCTGATTAGAGAGAAGCTAGGGATCTTTCAGCAGAATCCTAGCCTAACACTCTCTTCTCTCTCCATTTGAAGTTAAATGAACTAGTGGTGGGAGACACCAGCGGGAAACTGTCTGTGTATAAGAATGATGACAGCCGGCCATGGCTCACCTGTTCCTGCCAGGGAATGGTTAGTATTCAACTCATTGGGTCTTGAGGTGGGAAGAGATCCCTTCTGTCCAGGGGCTGTACCAATCCAGAAGTACACTCACGTGTCCTAACTCACTGACTGGTCTGCCCAGCCACTGCTTCCAAAATAAATAATTTCAGGCAGGGATACCCCTAGGCAGTGAGTGTTTTTCCATTGGGTCCCTTGACCCTACAAGCTTGGGTTATTTTGTTTTCTGTTGTGGAGCCTTGGACTTTATGGAAACTGTCCAAGGTTGCCTGATCTTACAAAGTCTAGTAGAAAATGGGGACAATCGTTTGAATAAGTCTGGATTCTATAATCTGCATACATTACACGTAGACTTTTTGTCTTATCTGTTTGCTCTGAAGCCACATTGTGTTAACAACCTCAGGTCTTCATGTTGCTGTCTAGGTAAACGGAACTGACTTGATCGATGTGGACTATCAGTGCTGGTCATATGACACAAGTTTTCAGAGGTGGATGGTGATTAGATAACCTTCTCACTGTCTCCCAGGAATTAGGGAGTAACTGGTCTACCACAGAGTATCTCCCTGAGCCTCTTTTTCTTCTCTTGCAGCTGACTTGCGTTGGTGTTGGAGATGTATGTAATAAAGGGAAGGTAAGAACTCTAGGGGGCCTTGCATCTTTAATAATAGCTAGCACTCCAAGCCCTTATCTTGATCCTTCTCCCAAGGTGGAAATCAACCTAGAGCTAAGGACTTCAGCCCTAATCTTTAAGCTGACTATCAGGCTTGAGCCCAAACTTCCTTCCATCTCATCTCTTCTTTACCTCCCTCACACATAGAACCTGGTTGTGGCAGTGAGTGCTGAAGGCTGGTTCCACTTGTTTGACCTGACACCTGCCAAGGCCCTGGATGCCTCTGGGCACCATGAAACCCTAATAGGAGAGGAGCAACGTCCAGTCTTCAAGCAGCACATCCCTGCCAACACTAAGGTCATGCTGATCAGCGACATTGGTGGGCATGACTGTCTTTTGTAGGTAGTGTCAGGGCGGTAGGAGTCAATGGGTAAAAGAACAGATCCCAAGGAATTGTAGGGATCTGGGCGAGTCAGTATTTGTTTCTGTGTTTTTTTATATTTATTGTGGCGTTAGCACTGGGATTATATTTTCAGTGAAAAAAACAGACAGAATTGCTGTCCTCTTGTAGCTTATTAGAAGGAGACAGAAAATCGGTTTAGTAAAAATGCTAAATAGTTTACGAGCAGGCAGTACATGCTATAGAGTAAAGTAAAGCACAGAAGAGACTCTAGAGTGTTGAAGTAGAAGTGTGCTTGTGTGTTAAGTGCCGTCAAATTGGTTCCGACCCACAGCGACCCAGTATAGGGTTTTTAAGGAGCAGCTGGTAAGCTTGAACCACCTACCCTGTGGTTCAAACCAACTTTACAGTCCAGCACATTAACCTGCAGCGCTACACCAGGACTCCTGAAAGAGAAGTTGATGTTGTTGTTGTTCTGTACCATGGAGTCGGTTCCGACTCATTGCGACCCTGTAAAGGGTTTTCGAGGCTGTAAATCTTTACAGGAGCAGAAAGCCTCATCTGTCTCCTGCGGAACAGCTGGTAGTTTCAAACTGCTGAACATGAGAATAACAGCCCAATTCGTAACCACTGTTGTTGTAAAGTGCCATCGAGTCGATTCCGACCCATAGCGACCCTGTAAGGGTTTTCAAGGAGCAGCTGGTGAGCTTGAACCGTCAACCTTGTAGTTCAAACGGCTTTGCAGTCTGACGCATTAACCCACAGCGTCACAGCCTGATTCATAACCACTAGGGGAGTAGCAATTTTAAATGGAGTTGTCAGGGGATCCTCACTGAGAAGGTGACATTTCATCAAATGTTGAAGGAGGTAAAGGAAATGGGCCATACAGAAGTCAGACTGATATTTAGGCCAGACACTGTCTCTAAGGGAGTGGGTGGTATGGGATGAATTGAGATTCTTGAGTAGTGTATCTGAGAAAAGTCCTAGAAAAGAAGTGACAAGACCTGCAGAAAAAGGGGTAAAGTATTCTTAAAAACATTAAAAGCATTAAAAACAGCAGGAGAGCAAGTACCAGACTCGAAAGGAGTGAGGTGGACCGCATAGTGTTACACTGGATAGAAATACCAACAGTGGTGATGTGATCACAGATTTGGCTCCAAAACAGTGTTGTTTTATGCACCCACAGATGGAGATGGGTGTTGCGAGCTGGTGGTAGGTTACACAGATCGTGTAGTGCGGGCTTTCCGTTGGGAAGATCTGGGTGAGGGCACTGAACATCTCACAGGACAACTGGTATCCCTCAAGAAATGGATGCTGGAAGGTCAGGTGAGAGGCTGAACTTAGAGGGTGGGCAAGAAGACCTTCAAGAGGAGGCTGTGGGAGAGCAGGCATAGGATAAGGTGCAGGTAGAAAGAAAGGGAAATTATCTTGTTGAGAAGAGATCCAAGAAATATATTTTTGAATCAAGGTCTTAAGAGAAATGTCTAGTGATAGGCACAGAGGAAGGACACTGGACTAAGAATCAGTGTGGTGGGTGGGATTTGGACTGTTTGGTGGCGTGAATCCCATTTGGGGTATACACAGATTGCCTATGTGGAAAGGAGAGTGCCAGGGAGGAACCCTCTAATTCTGGACTCTGCCAGGAGCCCTGTTCCCAGAACCCTGCAACAATCTCTGCATCCCTTTGACATCACTTGTTCCTGGTGTAGGTGGATAGTCTCTCAGTGACTCCAGGGCCCCTGGGTGTTCCTGAACTGATGGTATCTCAGCCAGGCTGTGCTTATGCGATTCTCCTGTGCACCTGGAACAAGGACACTGGATCCTCTACTACCTCTGAAGGGACCACAGAGGGGAGCAGGTATGGGGGCGTTCAGGTTGTGGATGGTGTAAGGGTACATGAAAGCAAGATGGGTTCCAGATGGCACTTGGTAGTGAAATGGGCCTGCCGTCAACAGAACTTCTTCATCTAGGTCTCAGCCCCATGAAGGATCCAGAGAATCCTAGGTTTTAACCTTTTAGCTCCTGAAAGAAAGTCCAAGCTCCTTATCAGGCGGCCCCCATGCCTCTCTTTTCCACTGGTTGCATGAGTCAGATGGGGTTAGCGGTAGGTTTCTAAGCTGACTCATATCCCAGAAGTCCTTACTGAGGTAGGAGGCCACTGAAGTCCTGGAGCACTAAGCTCCCTTGGTCTCCCACTTAGCCCATGCCCTGCTGCCCACAGGGAGCCCCCTTCTGTCCGAGATGTAGTGCTGCATCAGACATCTGGCCGCATCCACAACAAGAATGTCTCTACTCATCTCATTGGCAGTATCAAACAAGGTGAAGGTGGGGGTGGGAGCAAAGGAGGGAGCCGAGGGACAGAAGTTAGTTCTAGGGAGGAGATAGAGGGCCTTCCTCTCATATCTATCCCTGTCCCTCCCTCCCTACTGGAGGCCGCCACTTGTCTTCTATACGCTTACCCTGCTCCTTCATAGTTTTCTTCTTCTGGTCCTTGTGTCACATCTACAGGACACAGCCCTGAGAGTGGCGGCTCTGGCCTCTTTGCCCTCTGCACCCTGGATGGTGAGTTCCCTGGGCTGGCTCTATGGGGCAGTGCTGGGGTGAGGATGGGAAATTACACGCCTATAGGGTCTAATCAGGGTTTTGGTCCTGTGCACCTCCTGCCTTTTCCCTTACAGGGACATTGAAGCTTATGGAAGAAGCAGATAAACTGTTGTGGTCAGTGCAGGTGGATCATCAGCTTTTTGCCCTAGAAAAATTAGATGTCACGGTGAGTGAAAAACCAGGAGAAGGGGAACATTTTTGTCTTCCCTTATGGAGAAGTTAGATTTAAATCAGGCCAGTTTCACATCAACAGTTAATTCTCAGCCTTCATATTAAGTGTCTTTATTGTTGTTAATTACCATCGAGTAGGCTGTGACTCCCGCAAGCTTGTATATAACAGAACAAACTGTTACCCAGTCCTGTGCCGGTCCCATGAGCCTTGATATGTTTGAGCCCACTGTTGCGGCTGTTGTACCAATCAGTCTCACTGAGGGTTTTCCTCATTTTCATTGACCCTCTACTTTACCAACATGTTTCTTTGTTGTTGTTGTTAAGTGCCATAGAGTCATTTCTGACCCATAGTGACCCTGTACAGGGTTTCCGAGGAGCAGCTGGTGAGTTCAACTGCCAGCCTTACAGTTCAAACGGCTTTGCAGTCTGGCGCATTAACCCCCAGTGCCACAGATTTGACACTGAACATAAATGACCAAAGTCCAGATGAACTAGGGGATGACATCAAGGACTTCATACTTAAAAAAAGCAAAAGGTCATTAAAAAGACAGAAAAGGGTGAAAAAGACCAAAATGGATGTTAGAAGAGACTCTTGAACCTTGCGTAGCTAAAGCAAAAGGAAGAAATGATAAAGAAAAAGAACTGGACAAGTTTTCAAAGGGCGGCTGGAGACTACAGAGTATTATAATAAAATGTGCAAAGACCTAAAGTTAGAAAACCAAGAACACACTCAGCATTTCACAAGCTGAAAGAACTGAAGAAGAAACTCAAGCCTTGAGTTACACTACTGAAAGATTTTATGGGTAAAAACATGAACAATGCTGGAAAGCATCAAAAGAAAATGGAAGGAATACAGTTACTGTACCAAAAAATATTGGTTGATGTTTAACCATTGTAGGAAATAGCAGATGATCAAGTAAATCCAAACTGTACCAAAAGCCTTGGCAAAGAAAGAAACAAACAAGGAATGCCAATTGGGATGTTTCAACATCATCTTTCCAAGAAATATGCAAGACAAGCCGCCTTGCCATCCAACTGGAAGAGATTCATATACATGCCTGTTCCAAAGAAAGGTGGCTATAGATTGGAAATTATCAAACATTGTTGTTAATATCACGTGTAGTTAAAATTATGCTGAAGATCATCCAAAAACAGTTGCAACAGAACGTCAACAGGGAATTGCCAGAAATTTAAATCAGATTCAAAAGAGGATGCAGAATGTCAGATGGATCTTGGCTGAAAGCAGAAAATATAGAACTATGTGTACTTGTTTTTTTTGTTAATTGTGCAAAGGTATTCAACTATGGATAATAACAAGTTATGAATAACATGGCAAAGAATGGAAATTCTAAAACATTTAATTGTGTTCATGCAGAACCTGTCCACAGACCAAGAAGCAATCATTTGAACAGAACAAGGGGATACTGTGTGGAAATTTAAAATTAGGAAAACTGCATTGGGGTTGTATCTTTTCACCATACTTATTCCATCTGTATGCTGAGCAAATAATCTGAGAAACTGGACTATATGAAGAAGAACAAAGCACCAGGACTGGAAGGAAGCCCATTAACCTAGAATATGTAGGTGACACAACCTTGCTTGTTGAAAATGAGGAAAACTTGAAGCACTTACTGATGATGATCAAAGAATACAGCCTTCAGTATGGATTACATTTGAGTGTAAAGAAAACAAAAATCCTAACCACTGGATCAATAAACATCATGGTAAAAGGGGAAGACTGAAGGTCACTAGGATTTCATTTTACTTGGATCCACAGTTCATACCCACGGAAGCAGCAGTCAAGAAATCAAATGTATTGCATTGGGAAAATCTGCTGCAAAAGACCTCTTTAAATTATTTTTTTTTTTTTTTTAAACCCAACACATGTCATCTTGAGGACTAACTGTGCCTGACCCAAGCCATGATATTTTCAGTCACTTTGTGTGCATGTGAAAGCTGAACAATGAATAAGTAAGATGGAAGAAAAATTGTTGCATTTGAATCATAGTGTTGGTAGAGACTATTGAATATATCCTAGACTGTCAGAAGAATAAACACATCTGTGTTGGATTAAGTATAGCCAAAAATGTTCCTCAGAAGTGAGCATGGCAAGACTTCATTTCATGTACTTTAGACATGTTATCAGGGGGACCAGTCCCTGGAGAAAGACATCAAACTTAGTAAAGTAGAGGGTCAGTGAAAAAGAGAAAGACCTATGTTGGAAAGGTCACTGTCTTGAGGGCACCTAATAACAACTAATCAAACTGGAGTGAGTTTTTTCCCCTTATTCCACATTGCTTAATACTATACTAGATTGAACTACAAGGTCAGCAGTTCAAGCTCATCAGCTACTCCTTGAGAACATTATACAGAGTCGCTATGGGTCGGAACTGACTCAATGGCGCTCAACAACAAGAAATCAGAACTCATTTGACAGCATCCAAGAATATTGTGGGAGTGCCGTGGCTCCATGCACTGTGTACTGGACTGAGGTACACAAAGTCTGTGGTTTAAGCCCACCAGCCACTCCACAGGAGACAAGATAAGGTTTTCTGCTCTCACAGAGATTTAAAGTCCTGGAAACCCTGTACAGTGTTGCCATGAGTTGGATCCAACTCGAAGGCACTTAACAACAACAACAAAGAATATTAGTCTAATACCTTTCAGCAGAAGTAATAGTCTTAAAGAGAAACAGACTGCTGTAAATGAATTATTAGTACCAATTCTAGCTGTGTATTTTATTTATTTATTTTTCTTTTCCTTATGTAAGTCCCCTTTAATAGGATTTTGGTCCCGGAATTGGCAGATGGGGGCTATACTCTATACTGTCATTGTACCTATTTGATGACTTAGGAGAAGAGATTTCAACTTTGAAGTCAGGTAAAACTGACATGGATTGAATCCTGATTTTGCTACTTCTTAGATGATAGGCCTTAGGCAGGTGACTGTTTCTGTAAGTTGCAGTGTCCTGAGCACAAAATTTCCTACTGCATAGGATAGTTGTCAGCATTATGTTCAGGTGGCTCATGTGGCAGTCCCACTTGGTGCCTGGCACATGGGAGACACTCAGTGAATGGTTGTTTTCTTTCCCAGCTCCCTGTTTGCCTCTCAGAGTTCAATCTACAGCCTTTGCTTCGTCCAGCCACATCGTTAGATTCCTTTCTGAAACAGCTCCTTGTCACTCTGGCATCCCTGTCTCTGGCCTTTTTCAGGGCAATGGACGTGAGGAGGTAGTTGCATGCGCCTGGGATGGACAGACGTATATTATTGATCACAACCGCACCGTAGTCCGCTTCCAAGTGGATGAAAATATTCGAGCCTTCTGTGCAGGTGGGACACTTGCCCCTTTAGCTGCTCAACCACATTTGTTTCCCTACTCTCAAAATGACCCTTACTTTAAGTTTTCATAAACAAATTAGTTCCATAGCTCTTTGTTGTTCTATTTGAGGGTGGTGGGTGGATATGAAATCATCAACTTTGCAGGTTTAAATATTAAGTAAAAGACAGTAAGATCTCCATCTCCAAATATTTGTAAGGCTGGGATGAGTTCTTATCTATCTATTTAGAATGTGTTGAAGACATTGGAAAACTCATTCCTGTCTGAACATGTCAGACCTCTGTAAAGAAAATTCTCCCAGAGCATTCTTTTTTTTTTTCCGGATCTAGGTTCCCTCTTGAAAACTTGCAAGCCAGTCACTTCTTGCCTTTGTAGCCCCCCTACTTTGGGTAGCCAATGTACAAGTTGCCTATCTGTGTCTGCTCTGTGTATGGAGGGGGTGGGAATGATCCTTGCTGTTAAGATTTGTTTCCTGTTTTAAGCTACTGTATCCATAGGTGTAGGTCAAGTTCATCAAATTGTATCATATTACTCTTTTTTTCCTCTTCTTTCTTCTTCTAGTTGAACTCTGATCATCAATTCATTGAAGCCAGGTCAAGTGGGTATTATCTGCAAATGTAGGTGTTCTTGTACATGTGCCCTCTCTTCTTATCCACTGGATGCTTCACTCTCCACTCTAGTCCTCTCTGTGGTTATATCACTGACTCTGGTCTCAAGAGTCCCCAGGTCTTGCCACACTGCTGGCCAACCAGGTCTCTACCCGGGTTCACAGAAGTCTATTGAACATTGTAGGGCTTAGCTCGCAACTTCATTGCTGTTTTTCCCTCACTTCCCCTTATCGGTGACGAATGTGGTCACTAATCAGAGCGTGTATTCCCCTTGAGTCTTAGTCTTGGAAGGGGATTTACCCTGAGAGGACCCGACCACTTGCCTTGATGTCTCCTAGGCGAGCAACTTGCTTTTTCTTGTAGTAATCAGTCGGTGTGCCTATATTGTTTTGTATTTTTCCTGTCTAGAAGTATCTTCTGTTCTTCTAGCCGTCCTAGAGCATTGTTAATAGCTCCAAATTGGGGATCTTGGGAAGCATCATTAATTCTTTTGGGTGACTAGGAGTCCTGCTGTTGCACTGCGGGCTAATGGGCTACGAGATTGGTTTGAACCACAAGGTTGGCAGTTCAAGCTCACCAGCTACTCCTTAGAAACCGTATACAGGGTCGCATGAGTTGGAACTGACTCAAAGGCACCTAACGACAATAACAGGGACATCTTTGGGTACTAAATTGATTGACTAGTTGTTGCTCCACTGACCTGAAAGGTTACTATGCCTTTGAAGAAGGGATTGACACCGAAGAGAAGTCTTAGTTTCACCTTTGCTAATCAAATCCTTAGACTAGCAAAATTGCCCTTCATTTATTCCAGTTATATTAAAAAAATTAGTTGCCATCAAGTCAACTTTGATTCTTAGTGACCCCACATGTATCAGACTAGAAGAGTGCTCCATAGGGTTATCTTTCTTTTGTTTTTTTTATTTTTTTAACTTTTATTGTGAACTGGATGTAGGTTCACAAAGGAAATAGTTTTCCATTCAACGACTCACACACATTTTGTTTCATCTTATTGATTGCAACCGCTACAATGTAACATCACTCACTCCACTTCCTTCCTATATATCGGGTTTAAATTCCTTCTGCTTACTCCAAACCCTTCTGAACTTTGTCCTTGGATAAGTACTGTCCTTTTGACCGCCAATGGTTGACTAGTCTAAGGTGTGCATACCATTTTAGTGTTACTGTTCCTCTTATAGACCTGTCTGTTTTTTTACTTAAAATTTAGCCATTGGAGTGAGTTCATTTCCAGACCTGTAGGGTGATTAAGGGCCATGGTTTTAGGAGTTTTACCAGTGTATATTCAATCAATAAGCCTGGTCCTTCTTATGATTTTGAGTTCTCCGTAGGGTTTCCCATGACTAGTTTTTCAAAAGTTGATTGCCAGGCCTTTCTTCTGAAGCGCCTCGGTGTAGACCTTTTGGTTGGCAACTGAGCTCATTATCGTTTTGCACCACCCAGGGTTATTATTTCCAGGGGTATTATTAGATGGACTAATCCACAAATACTACCGTTTTAGATGCTACTCTGCCTTGTTTTTGTTGCTGAGGTTTTTCTATATGTGAACAAATAGATATAGCAGACTGTTTTACCTTTTTTTACCGAGTTCCCAACAGAATAAATATAAAGAGGCTTTATTTTTTGCTTGTTAGTGTGGGAGGGTAGAAACCGCTGACTCTAATGCCTGTATCTTGTTTCCCCCTCCCCTCCCACCATTGATTTTGGAACTTGTTGACCTTCATCTCACCACCCACCTCTCCCAGGCTTGTATGCCTGCAAAGAGGGCCGCAACAGCCCCTGCCTCGTGTACGTCACATTCAACCAGAAGATCTATGTGTACTGGGAGGTGCAGCTGGAACGGATGGAGTCCACCAATCTGCTGAAACTGCTGGAGGCTGAGCCAGAATACCGGGGCCTGCTGCAGGAGCTGGGTGTGGGTGAGTCCCAGGAAGCTGCAGGGGCTGGAGAAGCCCTGTGACCCTAGTGCCCAGGAAAGCTACAGCCTCTCAACTGCTCCTTTTTTGACCTACAGATCCTGATGACCTCCCTGCCACCTGTGCCTTGCTTCACCAAACACTGTACCATCCAGACAAGCCACAGCAGTGTGCTCCCTCCAGCCCCCAGGATCCTACCTAGCTAGACTTGCCTGATGCTTGGTTGATAAAGGATCCTTCTGAGCCCCTCCTCTCAAGGTATCCATGGTCCTGACAGGTTAGGGAATACACATTACACAGGGGCAGGATTTGATTTTGGGCATGGAAGAGGGGTGACAACCCTAGGGTGACTGTGACTATAGTCTTTTTTGGTGAAAGTACACAAGATCACCCTCAGCCCAGCTCCTTGTGCATTGCACTCATCAGACAGCAGGGCCAGATCTCCACTCTCACTGTGTAAAGAACAGACCTGTTTGCGAGGAGGGAGACCCAGTGTTTCATGTGGCCCCAACACGCCTAAGGAAAGCATGCTTCAGGGCCAGGGGAACAGTGGGAGGAAGGGCTGTACCTATCCCAAGCTCCATCTCTCATAGCACAACTCCTAGTTGTTGACATTCGTAATGATCACAAGAATGGCAAACTAGTTCTTTAGCTACTTTTGTTTTTGAGGGACTGTTCAGGACATTTTTGTTGTTGTTGTTGTTCAGGACATTTAATAACCTGACTCTTGCTTCTGTTCCTAGCAGCCTTAGGATGATTTTCCTCAGTTTATCAAAAGAAACTGGGTCAGTGCTTTCTCATTTTGCCATATTCTTCAAGCACTGTGGAACTTCATAGGTCTTGCTTCCATTTCCCCACCAGCCACTTTCCCAAAAAAACACCTTATTATCTATAATTCAATAGTCATTTAAAATCTGATGCAGGTGTCTGACCCAGACCACAAGCAGAACACTATCCTCAACCACTGACGTCCTCCTGCTCCTGATTCTCTGTGCTCGTGGCCAGCATTTTTTAAGTGAAATAGAACAGAATAAAAGAGAATAGAAAATATCGGCATGCCTTGGTCAAAGTATTGGTTTGTGATTTTTGTTGTTAAATGCCGTCGAGTCCATTCCAACCCACAGCGACCCTGTATAGGGTTTCCAAGGAGTGACTGGTGAGTCTGAACTGCCAACCTTGGGGTTCAAACTGACATTATGGTCCAGCACATTATCCTGCAGCACCACACCAGGACTCCCACAATATGGGTAAGTATTAATGTGTGTGTGTGTGTGAGAGAGAGAGAGAGAGAGAGAGAGAGAGAGCGAGTCCATGAATACATGTGTAGTGAGTGCAATGTAAAATTTCTTTCCTACGGTGAGTTATAGTCAAAAGGGTTTGAAAGTCATCACTGTAAATTATACTGACCCCAGTCAGATGGGTCAACCAGGCGAAGAGCTCACATTCCTATTTCCTGTTTGTAAGGACCTTAGGCTGGGGTTACAGGGCAGTTATCATTCAACACCTCAGAAGAAGACATCAGCGTAAAGAAACAAGCTTTATTCAAGTGGAGAAGCAGCTGAGCTAAGGGTCCGCCATTGGGCCTGGGGTCTGCGGTTATAGAAGCGGCAGGAGGCAGACAGAGAAAGGAAGAGGACAAGACCCAGGAAAGGAGAAGTCATGGATCAAGGCAGTGAGAGAGAAGGACCCTTTACAATTTTGAGGCCAGAGTAGTCATACACCTGTGGTAAGTGAGCTCCTATACCTTTCTTTTGAGGGCAGGGGAGTTACTGAGAAAGGCAAAGTGTCACCGGCAGCCTCCTGGTCCCAGAGGCGTAGTGATGGAGGGACTAAAGGGGAACTTGCCCCGGACCTGACTCCAAGGGGTTGCCTGCTGAGGCTGGCTGGTAAATCATTCCTCCCACCACCACTCCACAAACTTAGAGATTGCCCCTCACTTCACCTCTTCCTGGTTCTTCTCTAATGTACCCCAAGTTCAAGATTTTGCTTTCAGCAGAAGATTCTCAGTTCCTGGCCCAGGGTTCAGGTTAGCTACACCGCCATCTTCCTCTACCCCTGATTCATAACTTGAGTGACTCAAACCAACTAGAAAGACACTCAGGGGTCTGGCTTCTTGAGGTTTGGATCCCTCTCTTCCCAGGAAAACCAAAAGAGCCTCTTTGTCGTCTTACTTGGGCTCAGAGCCTGGCAGAGGGATTGGAAGCCACTGATTCCAGGTTAGGGCAAACTCAAGTTCAAGGACCAGAGGTGAGGGATAAGTAAGACGACCTCGTGCAGTGGCTGTCTCTAGCACTAAGAATACTGGCAAGGTTAAACCTGAGTACTGACACCCCACCAACCTGTCACCTCGAAAGGGCTGTTTCATACAGGCCTCCCAAAGTAGTACAGAAAGCAAGTAAAAAGGGGCCAGTATCTGGAATATTAAAAGTAAATATTAGAAATACAACAAAGGTTCTGCACTGAGTAATCAGTCACTGACTTTGGAGACATTTGCGACCTCAGAGAAGGAGCTAATAAAAGAGCATTCAGCCTTCTAAGCTAAACACTCTTCTACCGATTCACCTTCTGTGTTGTGCTGAAATATCTGCTTATCACTTCTTCCCCCACTCACCTGTGAGCCGATATGTGCAGAATCAGAAAGGTAGGCACCAGAAGGATCAGGGACCCAGGAAGTAAGGGCAGCCTAGTGGTGTCAGGAGTGGAGTTGGAGGACAGCAGTTGGCTGTAGCCTTTGACTCAGACTAGTTCCTATCATGCCAAGGACCAAGCTTGGGGCCCCATTATGCTTATGTCCCTTTCTGCAGTTTGGATTTAGCTTTGCTTTCTTCTTGAGGGAGGACAGGACCATGGGATTGATCAGGAGCCGACTAGTGAAAACTCCTGGAGGAAGAGAGCAGTTGCTGCAGAAGCAGAGAGGAAGGTGGCCGATGGGAGAAATAGGACAGTGGGAGTCAGGGGTAATATAAGGGACAGACACAGTAGTCCCCAGCTACCTGGTTCTAGGAATGCCCCATTCCCCACATAGCTCTTCCCCAAAGACAGGTATTTTCCCCCTGGGGACTGACTGGGACAGCAGTCACTGGCCAGGATCTTGGTACAAAGGCAGGAAGGGCAGCTCTGGAAATGGGGCTTTCAGCCGCAGCACTCCACGCTCCAGGTCGATGCAGCTCTGTGTGGAGAGGACAGTGTGAGAGAGGCTCTTTTTGTTCCCTCTCCCATTTCCCACAGATTCCATCGGCTTTTTGTTCTCCTTGCCCCCAGCTCGGTCCAGGATGGGACTCCGATCTCTATTTTCACTTGTAGGCAAATAAGTAGGCTCTAAGGAAGGACTCCTGGTGTGGCACTGGAAGATCAGCACTGGACTGTGAACCACAAGATCAGCAGTTCAGACCCACCAGCTGCTCCTTGGAAACTATACAGGGTTGCTCTGAGTCAGAACAGACTCAACAGCACTTCACTACAGCAACAAGAAGGAAGGAGCCCTGGTCATACAGTGGTTGAAGTGCTTGGCTGCTAACTGAAAGGTCTGTAATGTAATTCTATTATAGTCACTCTGGGAAAAAGATGTGGCAATATGCTTCTGCAAAGAAGCCCTAAAGGACCATTCCACTCTGCCCTATATTGTGCATCACAGGCAATTGAAACGCACACAACAAGGAAGCAAATTGGAAGCTAGGGCTCCTGCCTTCCAGCGTCAGCCTTTCTCCTTAGAACCTGCTCTGTACTCCCACACCTGCACCTGTTTTCCCAACATTTTGAGTCAAGCTCCTGCTTGCATCCTGCTTACCTTGAGAGATAGCAGCGTCTGCAGTCCAAGGCAGAATTCAGGACTTTCGACATCTGCAGGAACCATTTGGAAACAGAAGAAATTGGAGGGCGCCCAGTGGTCCCTGCTCCCCACCTCTCAGCAGTCACTCTTTCTCTGCCTGTCCCATACCCCAGGTCTGAGAATACTGGCACAGAGACCGAGGAGAATCAGAGACTCCGTGGGAACACCTTGTCTAGTACTGTCGGGCTAAAAGGCATCCTTTCTGCCTTTGCCCCACTTAGGAGAGGAAGGTAGAACAGGAAAGACAACAGGCTGTTCTTGAAGGGAGGACTTACCTACTACCTGGGCTGAGCATGCCACAGTCTCCTGCCCTAGCTGTAGCTCCAGCTGTTCCACCTGGGCTGGAGGTCCAGGTGCCAGGTCCCCACCTGGGGATTTAAGGACCCGCTTCTCTAACCTGTGGTTGGGAAATACGGTTATGCACAGCATCCCTCCCTTCACCCCATTAATTAGCAGGTGTCCCTCCCCACCATGCTGTGGGTTCTCATCCAGTCCCTGCTCTCCACCCACCCCATGGGATCTAAATTCTTGTCTCCCTGCCAGAACTTCTTGTCTGCATTTTTTTAAAACTACCATCTCTGTGGAGGTGTATTTCATATACCACAAAATTCACTCTTTTCAAATGTACAGTTCATTGTTTTGGGTTTTTTTCCCATTGTTTCTTTGAAATTCAGTTTTTTAAAAAAGTTTTTATTGTGAATTGAGAGATAGTTTACATGGGAGAACATTGGTTTTACATTCATCATTTCATTGCAATGATTACAATGTCCTCCGTGCACCGTCATTCAACAGTATTTGCATCCATTTCCTCTGTTTTTTGTTTTTGTTTTGGGATGTACACAAAAACACTCAGGAATATATAATCATTTAAACAACCAAAGGGCACATTCTGCAAGCCTGCCTCCTGGCCACAGCCTTTCCCTTTCCATGAGTCTAGAGTCCTCAGCTGCTCTATTTCTCCATGTCCTCATCTCTGTCTCCATCTCTGGTGTTGCCACTTCTCTGGATAGGGTCCCACATTCTGCTTGTGCTCTTCTCCCTTGATGGTCCTGGATTGTAAGATTAACTACTCCCCCCTTTTTGTTACAGAACTTCTACTTTACTGTTGTGACAGTCGCAATTTGTCATGATAACAGTTACACACTATTGAATCATAAGAATCTTATCCCCATGTCTTTTCATCAGATCTGCCTAGACAAGATGAGAACTATTCAGTTAGGTTTCTGCCTTCCCCCCTACACTCTGAAACTATACTCCCTCTTGAAAACTCGTAATCCAGTCACTTCGTGCCTTTATAGCCCCCAAATTAGCCAATGTCTAAGTTGCCTGTCCCTATCAGCCCTGTATACAGAGGGGACAGTTCATTGTCTTTTAATATATTTACAGTGTTATCCTCACTATAGGAGCTCTGGTAGCGTAGTGGTTATGAATCGGGCTGCGAACCACAAGGTCAGCAGTTCGAAACTACCAGTGGTTCCGCGGGAGAAAGATGAGGCTATCTGCTCCTGTAAAGATGTACAGCCTCAGAAACCCTGTACAGGGTCACTGTGGGTTGGAACCGACTCGACAGCACTTAACAACAGCAACAACATCCTCACTATCTCATTTCAAAACGTTTTCATCACCTGAAAAAGAAACCCAATACCTCACCCACTGGTTGGAGCCACACTCTTACCCCAGGCGACTGAGACATCCAGCAGAGATTTGATTGTACTGTGTGCCTGTGTTCACTGCCACTCTCAGCAGCTGGTCCTGGCACTGAGAAAGGGGTTGTGGAGGACTCAGTGAGTTCCAGGAAAATGGATGGGGTTTGGAGTTTCAATTTTCCCAGCCTTTTCATGATTTCCTTTTAGAAAAACAGGTTGAAGATCCCGGAATACTTACTAACTGCCATGTATTGAATTGTGCCTCCTATGCCCCCCATCCCCAAATGTGTCAACTTGGCTGAGCCATGATTCTCAATAGTTTGGCAGTTATGTAATCAATCACCTTGCCCCCTGCCCCCCTTAATGTGATCTGACGTAATTATCCTGTATGTTATAAATCTTCACTTCTATGATATTAAGTTCTGATGAGGTGCTGTAGGATAACCACTGTACTGATAACCACAAGGTTGGCTGTTCAAATCCACCAGGCTCCTTGGTGATCTCCTATGTAGATTACAGTCTAGGAAACCCTATGGGGCAGTTTCACTTTGACCTATGGAGTTACAATGAATTGGAATCAAAGCAAAGCCACACAAGAATAACATGGTAGAAAGTTCTAAGCTGTGAGAGGGTTGTGATTCAAAACTATAGAGTTTGAGAAGGAGGAAAGAATATTTCCAAAGAAATCAGAAAAGGTTTCAAGGAGGTGTTAGCATCTGAGCTGGGCCTTCAAAGGTTAGGTAGGATGTGGTCATACAATGACTGGCGAGCAAAAAGGGCTCTCTCTAGGCAGAGGAAACTGAGCAAGATAGTGGTAGAAGAGCAATGGGCATTTATTGGGAATAGTGCAATAGTGGCTGAGTGCTTCTGTGGCTTCAGAAATGAAAACCTGACTTCTCTGGAAGAACTGCATTAGCCATACGTGCACACACCATTCATATATGTAGAGCACACTCAAGTCTCATTCACTTTTAAATGAGCAAGTAGTGGTACTGATGATAGCTGGACTTGTACAGAGGGAAGATAGATTGAGGCAGAAAGTAAAGAAGATAAAAGTAGTTGCATTGATGATTATCCCATGTATTTCAGAATACAACTGCACTTCAACAGGGAGATTGCCAGAGCTTTCTTCTGAGGCTCTGCTGGATACATTTGAACCATCAACCTTCCCGTTAGTACCCGATCACATAACCATTTGTACTACCCAGTTGTCTTCAAGTTGACTCTGACTCATGGTGACCCCCATATGTATCAAAGTAGAGCTGCTCTCTGTAAGGTTTTCTGTGGTTGATCTTTTGGAAATAGATGATCAGGTCTTTCTTTTGAGGCACTTCTGGATGGACTCAAACCTCCAACCTTTCAGTTAGCAACTGAGTGTGTTAACCATTTGCATTAATTACCCAGGGTCTCCAAAGTAGACATTAAGTGCTACTGAGTCAGTTCCGACTCATAGCAACCCTATGTACAACAGAAGAAATGCCGCCCAGTCCTCTATCATCCTCATGATTGCTATGTTTGAGACCATTGTTGCATCCACTGTATCACTCCATCTCCTTTAGGGTCTGAAGACCCCATTTTTATTTAGATAAGGAGTCCTGGTATGGTGCTATGTGATAAAGCACTGGACCACAAAGTCGACTTGAACCATAAGGTCAGCAGTGCAAACTCACCAGCATTTAACAGATTAGGGAATGAGGTTTTCTCCTCCCTCACCACCAGGGGGAGAAAGAGTGGATAAGGTAAACAAACCAGTGCAGGCAGAGCGGGAGTTGGAGCCCAGGGAGATCGCTCACCTTGCAATTGACAAGAAGGACCGGAATCTCTGTTGTCCAGGTCTCCTTGCTGTTCTGGTCTTGTGTTAGGGCCTGTGTTAGGGGAGACTCACCCTGAAGCTGACTCTGGTTTCCCGCCATCAGGCGCCTTTGGATCACGCTGTGTGGCTGCTGGCTCAGGCACAAAACAAAGGGGTAAATGAGTCTAAACCTAAAGTGTCCAGGTTGCTCTTCCCAGGCCCACCCCATTCCTGAGTCTCATGGGGGTAAGAAAGGGACAGGAACCTGCAAAGACACAAGGAACCCAGCAATTGGACAATTAAAGTCAAGTGAACCCCAGAATCAAATCATGCTATTTTTCTAGGACCTCAATAGATGGCTCAACAACAAACTAGTGGGAGAATAACGGTCCATGTTAGACTGCCCTGTTGGATGGAGGGACTTTTCAGGAACTAGTGTAGTATGCTTGGGGGAAATTTTGTCTCAAATATACATTTTTGACTAGGAGTTTTGTTTTTCCCTTTGTTGCCTCATCCTTCAATGGGCATCAGACCCCAGGGTTGCTGGTGTCATGAAAAGAAGTCAAAGTCTTTAAAACTAGGATGTTGGATGCTCTCCCTCACTTTCAAACACCAGTGCCCTGTCCAGTGACTCCCTAAGTTCTGCCATTTTTGCCTCCTGTGTTTAGAGTCCATCCCTCCTTTCTATTATGTACTATCTTTATTCAGGCCTCACCATAGCTGTCCTGGACCACTGGCATGTCTTCCTATGTGGTCTCCATGTTCTCCCTATACTATTGCTGTCAAAACCTCCAAAATCAGTTATATAATACCCTTGCTACTCTAAATGTGGTCTTCAGATCAGCAGTTTGAACATCACTTGGAAGCCTGTTAGAAATGCAGAATCTTGGGCATTATCCCAGGCCTAAGGAATCAGAGATTTCATTTTAACATGATCCCCAGGGGATTCAAGTGCATATCAAATCACTGAAGTAAAACTTAGAACTATGTCAATCCTCTGTTTAAAAATCCATCAAAGTTCTGTCTCCCCACTGTATACATTAGAGAGTCCAAACTTCGTAAAGTGAACCGCAGCTTAGAGCGAGCTGCTGCCATCTGAATCTTGAGCCTCGTTATCTGCCCAGCAATTCTGCTGTTGTATTGCTCCAGGTCAGCACCAAGCTGTTTCTTTGCTCCATGTCTTTGCTCCAGCTCACTCGGCTCCCTGAAACTCCTCTCTCTTACTCTTCTCTAGGTCAGACTGGAATAATGTGGGATTTCCCGGGGAACTTTGTAATTATTGTAGGACTGACCTCTTCATATTCCTTCCCCTACACTCCTGGGGTGGTGCTGTAGGATTAGCACTGGGCTGCTAACTGTAAGGTCAGCGGTTCAAACCCACCAGCCTCTCCTTGGAGACCCTGTACAACAGTAACACACACACCAAGCTGATTTGGGGCTCCTTCTCTCTGCCGCTTCATCATACTTTTCATCAATGTTGTTTATGGCTTCCATTCCCCCATTAGCCTAGAGAACCCTTGAGGTCAGGTGTTGTGTCTCATTCATTGTTAGATCCCAGGGCCTCACTCAGCATATATGAGGGAAAATGCAATTAAAAGATCATGCAATTTTTCCATGAACATTGTGAAGCCCCCTCATATTAGGCGCTCACTGAACATTTGCTGAAAAAAAATGAACATAGCCCTCGAGTCTTTGCACATTCTTTTTCACCTGCCCCCTCTCCCAGGGAGCCTGGGATTGTTTTCATACCCTTGGCTTAAGGAGTCCCCTGAGACTACTCTTCGTCAGCAAGGCTGCCAGCAAGAGACACAGGTCTGGGAACAGGGCTTCGAGTTCTGGGACAGGCCTGAGAGACCAACTATCCTACATCTCCTCCCACCTTTCCCATAGATGGATGCTTGGCTTCAAACCCTCTCCCACCACTGTGCAGCTTGTACCAGGAAAGGAGACTCAGAGTCTTCCCAGTCTGTTGTGGCTTTACTCCCAAAGCCACTGGAGGTAACTATTAGGAGTCCTGAAGCAGAGCAGGGAGCTGAAAAGCCCAGAATTTTCTCAACAGAAGGCTAGACCTGCCTCCATTTCTGTGCCGTTCTCTCATGGCAATGTTAAAAGAGTTTCATCATCTGGAGCCAAATAAAAGGGATCCCCAAATGGTAGAGGCTGTGAGGTCCCCACCACACGGAGTCCAAGAACTTGCTTCCCTGTTCTATGCCTGTTTTTCAGTTGTACTTGCCATGTTTGCAGGGGAGATAGAGGGGGACACACCCCTGGGAGTTCTCTGAGTAGAGATCGCACTCAAATCACTTCTCTTTGTGGCGGCCTGGATTCTGGGCTGGGGGGCACTTGACTGGGAGAAGTATGGAAAGGTAGGGCTAGGTCAGGAAAAACAGAGAGGGGCTGGGTTTGCCTCCACATTCCCAGAGAGAAGTGACAGCTCAGGAGAAGTCTCTGCTGAGACCCCTCCCCAGGCCCTGACCAGATGTGAGAGAGCGCACACAGTGCTCTGAGGCTTTCTTGGAAGACCTTCCTCTCCTTTGGTCAGCTTGAGGGATCGTTGTCCACATTGTATATAATGCGTCCCATCAGCCAGGCATAGTTTTAAGTGCTTTGTATAGGTTGGTTCACATAACTCCCACAACAACCCTTTAAGGTAGATACTGTCAACTTGATCTTCATTTAACAGGTGACGAAACTAACTCACAGAGATGTAAAGTACATTGCCTAAGTTAGTAAGTAGCAAAGGCAGGATCTGAATCCAAGCGATGTGACTCTTAACTGCTGCCTATCAGAGAGGAACGGCTGTAGGTTCCCTGACCCACCTGCTTTTCCTCCTGATCTCCTCTGATGGACAGAGTTGCTGGATGGAGGCAGAAGGAAAGGTCTTCCAACTAAGAGGGAGGAAGTGGGGCACAGGTAGACCAGGTGGCCCAGGTCAAGAGACATGATATTTAATGTTCTTAAGTATCTTAAGACATGATAGTTAATACTAAGATGGAAACCCAAAGCGCTCTAATTTTCTGAGGGGAAAATGCAAATGAATGGATAGATTGGGTATGAGAAAATCAAGAGTTTGGAGAGAGGAACACCACCACCCTACACTGAGCCATCATCACCCTCCATCCCCTCCCAGCCTTAATTGACTGCCCCAGTAGGTTGCTGTGTTCCTCTAAAACTACTCTTAAATAACAAAGCTCCTCACCCTTGTTAAAGGTAAAGGTGAGGAAGCTAAGTGAAGAGCATAAGGTCCCTCAGAGCCACCAAGTCAGGAAACACCACCAAAGAAGAGCCTGAGAAGGGTTGAGGCGAAGCCCTGCAAGTTGAAGAGAATCTCAGCATTACTATACTCAGTAAGAGAGGGGAACCCTGGAGGTTTGGGGTCTGCCCTTTATGATTCTCTCACCCCCTCCTCAGGATCTAGGAAGCAGAGAGAAAGGACTGGGGGACTTTCTTGGGGACAGGGAGGGAAGGGATTGCCTCACCAAGTCCTTGGAGGTGCCCAGCCTCTTGAGACTGTCCAGGGGGAGCAGGTCGGCAGAGTCCTTGTGCAGGAATTGGGTAGCCTGTTTGAGCCGGCGCTCTTGGCTCAGGTGGGCTCGGTTCTGAAGCTCAGCCTCCTGTCTCCTCACATCGGTGTCTCTCTCATCCTTCCTAGCCACCTGCCTGGTGCTCATGGCCACTCTGGGGAAGAGAAGTGTAGATGGAGGCTTCTGAGTGGTCTTCCCCTCTGTCCTGTCTGCGTCCGTGTGTCCCTGCAGCTTCCTGCCTGATTCCGTTCCCTGGACCGCAGCTCTCCTTCTGACAGGAGGGTCTCGGTGGGAGGAACCGGAGGAAATAAATAAATAATGGGCAGGAGCACTCGCGTCAGACACCCATTTCCAGAGATGCAGTAGAGAGAGTGAAGTTCTGGCTGGAAAAACCCAGCACTAGGAGAGAGGGAGGGCAACAGATGCTGCAGTGCCTCTAGTTCTAGAGCCAGTGTGTGTGTGTGTGTGTGTGTGTGCACATAACAGTGCCATCAACTATCAGGGTGTCCGTGCCTGGTTGTTTGAATGGAAGCATCTGTGTCAGTGTGTGGGGGCGGCCTCCTGTGTGCTTTGTGTGCCTCTGAGATGCAGGCATGTGCGTCCATGTGCATGCGTAACTGGCTCTGCTTTGCATCCCTCCCAGTCTCCTGGGCTGCCCAGCTATTTTCTTCATCTATGGCTCTCTGTAGCCCAGAGGCTGGGGTGCAGGCCAAAACTGGGGTTCATGACAGAAAAGGACACCATCAGAGTACCTCCCCTTCCTCTCCTCTCCCTGGTAGGAGAGGCTTTACTTTTCTAGGTCTCTCCCTAATCTCCTTGACAGATGTCAGATGTGTTCTGGGTTCCAGAAGGTGGCCACAGCAGATCTCAATCTCCCTACAAATGAGTACCCGGCTTCTCGGCTTCTTTTATGTAGGCTGTTCAAATCCTAGAACTTAAAAAAAAAATTGTTATATTACAAACATAGAGCAAATGATAGAGTGACCTTTACTCACCACCGGTTAAAAATAAACTGGTACCAAAAAAATAAAATAAACTGATACTAATATGGTTGAAGCTCTCTGTGGAGTCCTCCCTCCAGATGGTTGTTGTTGTTAGGTGCCATCAAGTCAGTACCAACAGAAGAATGAAACACTGCCCAATCCTGGGCCAACCGCATTAAAGTTGCCATGCTTGAGTCCATCAATGCTGCCACTTGGTCAGTACGTCTCTTTGGGGTCTTCCTCTTTTTCTCTGACCCTCCACCTTACCAAACATGATATCCTTCTCCAGCGACTGATCCCTCCTTACAATATGTCTGAAGTATGAGAGACGAAGTTTGGCCATCTTGGCCTCCAAGGAGCACTCTGGTTGCATTTGTCCAAAATGGACCTATTAGTTCTTTCGGTAGCCCATGGCACTTTTAATATTCTCCTCTAACACCATAACTCAAAAGCATCATCAACTCTTCTACGGTCTTTCTTATTCACTGTCCAGCTTTTGCATGCATATGAAGTTATTGAAAATACCATGGCTTGGGTCAGGCGTACCTTAGTCCTCAAGCTGATATCTTTGCTCTTGAACACTTTAAGAAGGTCTTGTGCAGCAGATTTGCCTAATGCAATATGTCGTTTGATTTCTTGACTGCTGCTTCCATGAGTGTTGATAGTTGATCCAAGAATGAAGTCCTTGACAACTTCATTCTTTTCTCCATTGATAAGAATGTTGTTTTCTTGACATTGAGATGCAACCCATACCGAAGGCTGTGCTCTTTGATCTTCATCAGTGAATGTTTTAAATCCTCTTCACTTTCAGCAAGCCAGGTTGTATCATCTGCATATTGCAGGTTGTTAATGAGTCTTTTCCTCCAATCCTGATGCCACGTTTTTCTTCATAGAACCCAGCTTCTCGTATTATTTGCTCAGCATACAGGTTGAATAAGTATGGTGAAAGAATACAACCTTGTCGCACACCTTTCTTAATCTTAAACCATTCAGTGTTCCCATGTTGTTTGAACAACTGCCTCTTGGTCCAGGTACAGATTCCTCATGAGCACAGTTAAGTGTTCTGGAATACTCATACTTCGCAATGTTGTCCATAGCTTGTCATGATCCACACAACCGAAAGCCTTTGCATAGTCAATAAAGCACAGGTAAACATCTTTCTGATATTCTCTGCTTTCAGCCAAGATCCATCAGACATCAGCAATGATATCTCTCGTTCCACGGTCTCTTCTGAATCTGGCAGTTCTCTGTCAATGTGTGCTTGCAGTCGTTTCTGTGTTACCTTTAGTAAAACTTTACTCACATGGGATATCAAAGAGATTGTTCGACTTTGGTGTTTATCATTCCCATAAAACCAGTTGCCATCAACTCAATCCTGAGTCATGACGACTCCATGTATTTCCGAGTAGAACTGCACTCCAGATTAATAGCTGCATACCAGGTACTAGGAGATGTATTCATTTGCTCAAATGATGAAACTACATCTGGAACAACAGCTACAATTGGAGTCACCACCTGGTTAAGTTTATGATAATCCACTATCATCCTCCAAGATCCATCTGTTTTTTGCACAAACCTGATAGCTAAGTTAAATGGGGATGTGTTGGTAACCACCGATTCTGTATCCTTCAAGTCCTTGATTGTAGCACTAATCTCTACAATCCCTTCAGAACTGCAGTTTTCTGTTTGTAAATATTAGGAAAATCAGGCAGTTTTTTTGGAGAGCAGTGCACTGCTTCCTGAGTCACAATTTGTGCTTCACCTTTTGGAGGTCACTGGGACTTAGTCTAGTTATAGGTTTAGAAGCAATCATTGGTGAAGGCGATTCCTGGGAACATTCAGCAATGTCTTACCCCAAGTTAATGCCTCAGGCAGGTACAGTGGGTTAATCTCATGGAGTGTTGGCAGAGGGAATAATGGTTTTATTGATAATGGCTCAGCAGACAAAGATGGAGTAAATTCTTCAGGTGGGAGGGGTGGTGCTATTGAAAAGAGTGATTCTACAGAATTTAAGGGCTCAGTTTCCCCAGCTTCCTGATTATCTGCCCATATGTCCCCTTCATAAATTTTCAAGATTGTATTTCTTCCCAATCAACGCCCTTACTTTAACTTTTGAGATTAGGAATTCTGTTGACATTACAATGTCATTACATTACATTAATTACATTAGCCACTGTGACAGTAAGACTCTGGGTTTGGTTTTTGGCAATATCAGTTCTGTTTCTACAAGAAATAAGGCTTTCTTTCAGGGCACAAGTGGAAACTTTGAGGTCTTTTATGATTGTGTGAGCTGTAACTCCAAAGCCCTGAGCCAGTCTCTTTCTATTACCACTTGGTCTATTGTCAGTAGGACCAAACAACCAGCTTCCCTATACTTCTCTTACAATATCATGTCAAACACATGATCTCCCAGAGTCTTACTCATCATCAGTACTTGATCATCATCAAGATATACAGGTGGTGATATTTTGCACATTAACATTGCCACCTCAACCATGGAATGCAGTACCCTTTTCACTAATAGAAACATAGTTATCAATGTCTTTAAAAGTAGTCAGATTTGAGAACCAATTTAGAAAACCTCTTCTTACGGTTTTGTTTCTCTAGAACCACACTTGGCACCAAACGTCTTAGGCTGGGTTTCTCTGGAGAAGCAAAACAGGTGAAACTTATATATGTATATACTAAGAGAAATTCATATCAAGAAAATAGCTCACACAGTTGTAGAAATGGGAAAGTTCCAAGTCTAGGTCAGATGAACCAAGATTGTCAGGTTAGACAGCAGGCAAGTCAGATGGCAGTCAGGCAGGTAATACAGCAGGTCACCAAAGAAGCAGAGGTTGGAAGCCAGCCAGATACTGGATCTAGATTTAGCAGAGAGCAAGCAAGCTTTGCCTGAATGTCTAATATATTAGAAGCAGGCCACACCCACAAGGAAACATTCTTTTAATTGATTGGCTGCTCATAGCATACCTTATCATAGACTTAATTACAATATATTAGATCTCCTTATGAGGATACTTCTTTTCAACTGCCAAACCAGTGAGAATCTTGGCCCAGTCAAGTTGACAGGAAACCTTAATTTTCACAACCAGGTTTCCGAAGTTGCAACTGTCTTGACAGATCAGTGAGTAACCTACAGAGAGTAATGTGAGCAGGTCCCAATGTTCAAATATAACTCCTCCAACTTTATTCTCAGCAACTTGTTCCTTAGGTTTGAAAATACTTCAACAGCCACAGTAATCTTTTATATATGCATTCTTTGAAAAAGAAATGTTAGTTTGTCAATTAACAAGGATGAGGTGGCTCTATGCCACTTTGCAAAGTTGCTTTGGGCCAGTCTGCTAGGCACTCTTAGGTGTGTACCCTGCATACAAGGGAAGAGTAAATGTTTCTGTAGCATACAGTAGAGACTCTGGAGTTTACAGTTTAGATGGAGTGAAACTGAGGAAAATCGGGTCCTCTTTTTAAGTTGGTCTGATAAGGCCTTTATTGCTTAACTCTGGGAAACAACACATGCTCAGAAAATACCATTTATTAGAATGTAGCTGTGAAATAGGTAAATGGAGCTGTGAAGAGTCAAACTGATCCCTGTGTTCTGTGTCCCAGCTAATATTATCTCACTACTTTATTAACTATGCAAAGGCTTTCAATTACGTGGATCATAACAAGCTATGGACAACATTGCAAAGTATGATTATTCCAGATTAATTGTGTTCATGAGGAGTCTGTACCTGGACCAAGAGGCAGTTGTTCAAACAGAACATGGGAACACTGAATGATTTAAAATTAAGAGTGGTGGACAAGGTTGTATTCTTTCACCATACTTATTCAATCTGTATGCTGAGCAAATAATACGAGAAGCTGGGTTCTATGAAGAAAAACGTGGCATCAGGATTGGAGGAAAAGACTCATTAACAACCTGCGATATGCAGATGATACAACCTTGCTTGCTGAAAGTGAAGAGGACTTAAAACATTTACTGATGAAGATCAAAGAGCACAGCCTTTGGTATGGATTACATCTCAATGTTAAGAAAACAAAAGTCCTCACCACTGGACCAATAAACAACATTCTTATCAGTGGAGAAAAGATTGAAGTTATCAAGGACTCCATTCTTCTTGGATCAACTATCAACACTCACGGAAGCAGTAGTCAAGAAATCAGACGACGTATTGCGTTAGGCAAATCTGCTGCACAAGACATTTTTAAAGTGTTGCAGAGCAAAGATGTCAGCTTGAGGACTAAGTTGTGCCTGACCCAAGCCATGGTATTTTCAATAACCTCATATGCATGCAAAAGCTGGACAGTGAATAAGGAAGACCGTAGAAGAATTGATGCTTTTGAC